ATTGAACTCAATGCTTCTACGAGGATGTTAAAAAGGAAAAGGGACAGCGAACAGCCTTGTTGAAGACCTCATCTCATTGCAAATTGTCTAGTTGGAGACCCATTAACTAACACTGCATTGGATGCCGTAGTGATGCATTCCTTAATCCACCTTTTCCACCTATCACCAAAGCCCATGCACCCCATCACCATGTCAAGAAAACTCCAGCTGACACTATTGCATGCTTTTTCGAAATCCAACTTTAAGATAACTCCTCCTATTGTATTTTTTTTCATCTAGTTGACCAACTCATTTGCAATCAAAGCACAGTCCATAAGTTGTCTTCCCTTGATAAAAGTAAATTGATTCCTACCTATAATCTCCCCAATGACCAGTTTCAGCCTATTCGCTAGAGTCTTTGCCATGATTTTATAAAGGCTTCCCACAACGCTGATTGGTCTATAGTCATTCAGCCTAACTGGGTTTGGGACCTTAGGAATGAGAGCAATGAAAGAATTATTCACACCATACCCTAATTGCCCTTTTTTATGAAACTCTTTCAAAAATTTCATCACATCATCTTTGACAATCGATTACTGATTTTTAAAAAAGTGAAGATTATTCCCGTCTGATCCCGGGGCTTTGTTACCGTCGTAACTTTGGATAGCTCCCTAAATTTCATCCTCCTCAGAAAGCTGTTCAAGAAAACTCACAGATTCCGCCTTCAACTTATTGAACAGACACCCTACATTAATCAGCCTTAAGACTTCTTTGTGACTGAATAAATTCTCAAAGTGATTAGCTACAGCTTCTTTGATGGCGGTTGGATTCTCAATCTTTTCCTTTTTTCCTTCCCCTTGGAGGCTCTCGATTCGATTGATTCTTCTTCTTGCAGATACACCTACATGAAAATATCTCATATTTCTATCGTCATTGTTCACCCAGTTTATCCTTGACTTTTGAAGCCATTCTCTTTCTTCCTTTCGATATAACTCCCATAATGCAGTCTTTTTACCGTTCAATTCCCTTTTACTAACTTCATCATCATTAGTTTCTTGACATGCCTTGACCATCTCTATGATTTCTTCTTCTAAGCATTGAATTTTTTGTTGAACATTTCCCATGGTCTTGTCCTTTCATTCCTTGATTGCCAGCTTCAGTTTCCTTAGTTTCCCCCATAGTCCCCCTCTTCCCTCTTCTTGTATTTTCTAGTGCTCCTCCACAATCTTTTGAAAGCTTTGTTCCTCCAACCAGTGATTAAATATTCTGAATGGCTTTGGACCCCACTCCACCTTTGTTGTCTTTAAGATTACAAGATTGTGATCAGATAATAAGCTCGGTAAACACTCTTGTATTATTCCTTCTTCAATTTGTAACCATTCCCAATCAATTAAACACCCATCCCTCACGGTATCCACACCATGTAAATTTATCCCCACTTAGAGGTAAATCCACCAAGGTCATCTCACTAATAAAGCTCCTAAAGGTTGCTGCAGATCTGCTGACATCTCCATTTCCAATATTTTTGTGCTCCTCCTTCACTGTATTGAAATCCCCCCTGATACATGACAACTTTATTATATAGAGTTATTTTGACATATTTTGGAGGCTTAAGTAGCTAGATATTTGAGATTTTAGGTACGGATTTTAGCATTTTAGGTGTTTTTTTAGTTTAAGTTTAATTACTTATTAAGTGACTAATTTAAGTTATTTTAGTTAAATTTTATGTTGTTTTGTTTTAAATTATGTTAAGAGTAGTTATTTCTAATTTCTCTTATGACTTTTGTAGAAAATTGATGAAAAAGGCTCATTTAATGAAAATAAGTGCAAGTATGACGATAACTTCATTTGTATATGTTTTAGTATTTTGACCATATCTCTCTCTAAACAACTCCAAATGAGGTGAATCCTGAACCAATAGAATTCTAAGAAGAAGGGCTACAACGTTTATTTTTATCAATTCACCCAGTTCTGACTGGATCACAATCAAAATATTTGTCAAAGTCGGAGCACTGCAGCAGTACACAAGGACTGAATATGATGCGGTATTTGGAGCATATCTTTCAATCCAGGAGTCCAATTGATGTGATTCTTAATCCATTGGAAAGTTAAGAGACAGGTCTAAAACTTCTATATTTACTACTTTATCCAGTTCGAAACATCTCAGGGTGAAACTCACATTTGAAATTGATAGACTGCCACAGTGCTGGGAGAACAAGGCTGCAGCGTTGATGAAAGGAAGCAGACATACAAATTTCAAGAGAGCTCAGCGCTGCAGCACTGGAGAAGTAACGCCGCAGCGCTGGGCGACTTTCCAAAAATAAAAAAAGTTGACGAGATTTTGAAAATTCGGTTATTTTGAGCCTATTTAAGAGATCTTTTTTAGAGATTTTGGGAGGAGGCAACAAGCAACAATGGGATCGTTTTCTGGAGATTGGAAGCCAAGAACAAAGCAAGAAAATAAGAGAATTGGAGGGAGAATCAAAATCACAAAGCTCTAACTATTAGTTTTCTCTCTTACTTTTGTGTTTTTTTTATTTTCTTTGACTTGGATTCATGGCTAATTTTTTTTGGATATTGTCTTTTTTAGATATTATGAGCTAATTTATTTTTCTAGGATTGCAATTGAACTCACATGTAATCTAAATTTTTAATTTCTTTGTTGCTTATTTTCAATGGGATATGAATTGTTTATTCTAATTTGTTCTTAATACTTTTAATTGCTTGGCCACCAATTAAATTGATTTAGGAATCTAAACAAACTTGAGAAAGGGAGTGTAGACTAAAATTGGGATAGCATAAGATCATATTACTTGATTTGCGTATGGAATAGGGATATACCTATAAGTTATATGTAGCCAGATTAGAGCCTGAACTTAATGAGTCTGTTTTAATTTCAATTCACATAGGGATATAGTATTTTGGTTAAAATAGATATTCTTATAAGATGAGTCGGAAGACCTTTATAAATAATTTAGGATTCTAGATTAGCAATTCGAACCATTGAAATAAGTTAAGGAAGAGAGGTAAGATTTAGATGAAGTGTAAGGGATATTGCAATCCTAGACTTGTTTGATATACTGTTTACCTAATTATCTTGTTGCTTTAATTTGTAATTAAATTAGTTTTAGTTGTATAATTTTTAATTCAATTAGAATTCAATTAGAATTTAGATTTTAATAATTTGAATAAAACTAAATTGTTCTAATTTTAGTATTTAATAAAAATTTAGATCAATTCTCATCGAAACTCTATTTGTTAATATATTATCTATTCGATATGTATATTTGTATAATAAAATTTTAACTGACAATACACCATAGGATCTCCTTCTCCCTAGGTAAATTTATAAGTTCAACCCACAGACTATTCCTTGCTGTTTCCTCATTTACTCAGTTGAAAAAATCCTTTCGCTAAATGCTTATTATGCCACTAGATCTTTCCACTGTTGGAACAAATTTTCCGTAAATTCTACCTTTTCCTCAAATTTTTTCAAACGTTCCTTTCTTTTCAGCTTGTAGCTTCGTCTATTGGATAAATAACATATCAGGTTTATGTTTCCAGACCACCTTCCTCACTGCTCTCTTTTTTTCGTCTCTACCCAGGCCCTTAATATTCCATGAAATTACAATCATTGAAGAAAAAAATCACACAAGCACTGACTTGTAAAATCTGTATTCATTTCTTACTCCTTGTACTTCAGTTGTTCTTCTCCCTCCAAATTTTAGAAGATCGTAATCACTTCTGCCCTATTTTACTGGAATTCCATCCCTAGTCTTTTACTAACCTCCTACGTCAAAGTCGTTTCTCTTGGAGAACTTTCAGCAAATGATTCATACCCCACACCGTCCTCTAAGTCCTCTTTTTGAAAACCCAAACTCTCCACTATTCCCTTTCTCACTAGTCTCCTTCTACCTTTTACTAGCCCTATGCCCTTTCCAGGGCCATCGCTATTTGTAGCCTCCTACACATCTCTGTAACTGTGTCTTCTGATTCTCTTAGCTCATCTCTTAATCCACCAGCACCGTTTCGTTCTTCCTTTCTTTTAAAGAAACCCATCCTTTTGGAATATTTCTCCTCGCCCACCTTTCAACTTCCCTCTTTCTTGCTTTAATCGCCTTTATCAGAGACATACTCAAAGTTTTTCCACTCTCATTGCTCACTAAGATTGTACCAATTTTGAACACAAAATAGTACCATTGGACTAAATTATGTTGCTTTCATTTAGTACTGGAATAATACATTAAAGGGAAGATGTAAGGATGGCCACCTTAAATTTATCTGGTACAACAATGCTGAGTTTGAGAGTAGTTTGTCACCAAGAAAGCAATAAATTTAAATTCAGCGCTAGTGCTATATTCTGATTTTTATTAGAACAATAAATTTTAACCAATTGGAATTTAATGCAAAAACCATTTAGCATGGATCAAGCATTAATAAACTTTGACTAATTTTTTTATTTCTTTCTTGACTTTACATTAATGTTAATTAAATAGAAAATTAAAATTTTTTAATGAATGAAAATTGTATTTCATCGTCCAATGTACATGCTGTAAATCTCATCTCTTTGCCCTTGGATACATACATATCTAAAAAATCCAATTCAGATATATTACCTTATAAAACTTTCGGAAATTATTGTTGTTACTTAATCTTACACTTTTTGCTTAATACTTGCATATAATTATTGTTATTAACATCATTAACAAATACAAATATTTTACTTGGAATGGAGAAATGTAACAATAAATGAAATAAAAGTTTTGGGTTAAATGTAGAAAGGCAAAGTTTTCAAAGTAAAATAAAATGATTAAAATAATTAAATAAACTTCAAGTTGAAAAATAAAAACTGGATTAAATGGATATATAGGGAATGTTCTTTGAGTTCTGCTTACTAAGTTGAGTGGATTGCCACATCACTGTCGACGTGTCGCTTTCTTAATGGTGTAAACGACCGATTGCAACGTTTCCATGCTATAATTGAAACTGCTCTCACTATCTCACGAAAAGACATCCCTATAAATCCAACTCCTAAACGACACTCGACGGAAGAGCTCTCGCCCACCGAAACGGAACAGTTCAGGCGGCTAAACGGAACAGTACATGCGGCTAAAGAGACGAACAGAATACTCAATTTCGACCAACTGAATACTTCTCATCCGACGATGAATTCCCCAAGCCAAGACGAGGAGTCATCGATAGAAGACAAAGACAAAGACACAGCCGCAGAGGAATCCGAATCCAAACGCCTTTTACCATCTCAATCTCCTTCCTCGTCCTTGTCCGACGATGAAAACGAGGTCGCATTCGAATCCCGAGAGAAAATCGTGATCGTCGACGTGGACATACCGGAATCCCTCCAAAATGTCGATTATGTTCCTCCTTTTTCCTGGAAAAAGCTCTGGTTGTTTACGGGCCCGGGTTTTTTGATGAGTATAGCGTTTTTAGATCCGGGTAATTTGGAAGGAGATCTCCAGGCTGGGGCGATTGCGGGTTACTCTTTGCTTTGGTTGTTGATGTGGGCTACCGTCATGGGCCTGCTGATCCAGTTGTTGTCAGCTCGGCTCGGGGTGGCAACGGGTCGGCACCTCGCGGAGCTTTGCCGGGAGGAGTATCCGAAATGGGCTCGGTTTGTGCTGTGGTTCATGGCGGAGTTGGCGCTTGTCGGAGCTGATATTCAGGAGGTTATTGGGAGTGCTATAGCTATCCAAATTTTGAGTCGTGGGGCTTTTCCGCTATGGGCTGGAGTCTTAATTACCGCATCGGATTGGTAAATGTCCTCAATTTGATGAATCCCGATTGCTTTTTTGCTTGTATTTTTTTAATTTGTTTCCTCAAGTTCAATTTTTATTTGTGTTCTTTATATGGGTGATATTTTGGATTTGTTTAATTTGAGCCTTAATTTGTTTCTGGGTGTTAACTGGGGAAGATCAAGTCAGATTTTATCTTTTTAAGTTGAAAATTTATTTCTTTCCCCCTAACAAGTGTTTCACCCGCTCTCTGTTAACAGTTTTATCTTATTATTCCTGGAGAATTATGGCGTCAGGAAATTGGAAGCTGTTTTTGCTGTTTTAATTGCAACTATGGCTTCATCATTTGCTTGGATGTTTGGTGATACAAAACCCAATGGAAAAGATTTACTAATAGGTAATATATTTATTAAAACATACGAATTATCTTGCATGAATTGAATGTTTCACTTTTGAGTATCATTTTTTTGTTCGATTGTTGTAGGTATTTTGGTTCCTAGACTTAGCTCAAGAACAATTCGGCAAGCTGTGGGGGTTGTGGGTTGTGTCATAATGCCTCATAACGTATTCTTGCATTCTGCTTTGGTACAATCAAGAAAGATTGATCCCAAAAAGAGAGGCCGGGTTCAAGAGGCACTAAACTACTACTCAATTGAGTCATCTGTTGCGCTTCTGGTTTCCTTCATGATCAATTTGTTTGTGACAACTGTCTTTGCTAAGGGATTCTATGGAACAAAACAAGCAAATAACATAGGACTAGTTAACGCAGGGCAGTATCTTCAGGAGAAGTATGGTGGAGGAGTCTTTCCGATTCTCTACATATGGGGTATTGGTTTGCTGGCAGCTGGACAAAGCAGTACAATAACTGGCACATATGCTGGGCAGTTTATAATGGGAGGTTTTCTCAACCTTCGTCTGAAGAAGTGGTTGAGGGCATTGATCACACGGAGCTTTGCAATTGTGCCAACAATCATTGTAGCGCTTGTGTTTAACACATCTGAAGCCTCGTTGGATATATTGAATGAGTGGCTTAATGTGCTTCAGTCAATGCAGATTCCTTTTGCACTAATCCCACTTCTAACCTTGGTCTCCAAGGAGCAGGTCATGGGGGTCTTTAGGATTGGGCCTATTCTTGAGGTAAGCCTTTGTTTCACACCTCTTCCATTTTATTTGTACTATTTATTGCTTCACGTGTGTGACTATTGGTAGTTTGCTGCATGTTCTAGTAACTATCCTCTCAGCAGTTATTATGTTTGGAAGCAATGCTGAATCATTTCATTTTTATTAGTACTATAAATTTTCATGTTTGAAACAATTTGCTAGCAAATAGAACAGGATAAGAAATATGGTCAACTACCATAAGTTTCTATTACTATCATTATAACAGCTTGCCTCATTTCTCAACTTCTTGTTTTTCTTTTAAATACAAGAAACTTGAGTAGGTTTTCTATCGTGGAAACCAAAATTAATCAAGATTTTGATACTAGTCATGCAAAACTTGCAACCAATGGACCCATTCAATGTGTACCGTCATCTTTATTTCCTATGCATTTACTCATCAGTGGACTCATTGCTCTCATTTTGTCATCAGTGATACTCTCTGGGCCCATACAGTGGAAAGGAATAAAACTGTGCTCATACATGAGTGTATGCTGTAAGCTTCCTATTCTAGGTGGAAAGCATATGTCATGGAGTGATATGACGTTTTTTTGAGGGTTATCCTTATGTAGCTTAGGGCTTCGGTTATTGATCTCGTTACCTTCAGAAGTTGACATGTTCATTGCTATTGTTTTGGTTATTCTATAATATCTCCATTCATTGCAAAGTATAATCTACTACCGAAATGGTGAGGCTTGCATCTAAGGTTTGTAGTCCTACTGATTAAATCTACTTTAGAGGGGAGTTAAAGATACCGTTCTGTTTTAGAGGGACTTTCTAGAGAACCCTCAAGCCAAAGGAGATTTCACCTTACATGCTTCTTGGAAAGTTCTTATCAAAGAGCATGAAATATTCTCCATCATTCCATACAGTCCATTAGGATCCATAAATTTCCTACATAATTTCATTGAGAGAGCATTTGGCTTTAGTGGGGAGTGATTGTCTAGTGAACTTGTGTGGTAACTGGAAAGGCAGCTGTTTCTGAACCCATGGAGATACTTTTGCAGCAATTCGATGCCATGCACTTTCCATTTTTTATAAAAAGCGATGCCATACATTTTCCTTGTTGCTAAATGTCTGTGGTTGTGTATAAATTCTTGTTTAGTAATTTCTCATGAATGATTTCATGCTTCAATTAAAAATATAGCTAACTTTTGTTGGTTTTTTTTTGGTTATTTTGCAGAGATTGGCATGGACTGTGGGTGCACTGGTAATAATAATCAATGGGTATCTTTTGCTGGATTTCTTTGTTTCTGAAGTCAAGGGACTACTGTTTGCACTTTTCATCTGTAGTTGGACAGCTGCATATATAGCGTTCATTGTTTATCTTGTTTCACGTGGTGGTGGTCTTCCTTCCACTTGGTTCAGCATAGAACTATCCAGGAGATTTTCTGCCACCGGAAGTTAGAGTCAAGCAAATCCTGTGATTGCTACAGATGATGAATTCTCAGAGTTATATAGCTTCACAAGCCTCCAAAAAGCATGATGGCTATTGGTCAATATTTCAAAAATTGAAACATTCTGTTGGTGCATCAATAAGCTTGAATACACATATCCAAACAATAGAAAGCAGCTGATTCAAGATCTACGCTTTGCTTGCAGAGCTGCACAGATTTGAATTTCATCTCATAAATCAGGTAAGGATAACCTTTTTAGATTCCGTTTCCTTGTGGAGGATGGAAGAAACATTTTTACAACCTGCAGGCCAAGTTAGGTTTTGTCCTGTCCATTTGAAAGTTAAGTTAGATGAAACTGCTTAGGTATATTCTTTGATGTACCAGCTTCTCATGTATTATAGGCAGACTGCCATTCTTGTTTCCCAGAAGGGACTACACAATACGAAAAGAGATGAATTTTGCAATTCTTGTGTTCTGGAATCTGTGTCATACTCTCTTAGTTCTAGAAATTTCGTGTTCTGTTGGCTGTTCTTACGGTGTTCATTAAGCATTCATCTTTATTTCCCCTGATTTAGAGAATTACAATCTGAATACTTGAGTGGCATTTGGTATGCTGTATGTGGGGAACATTCCCTGCATTTTATTTGGACATAATCACATTACAGCATTTGGTTTGTCTAAAACACATGGGAAAGTGTTTTCATTGTAAAGTGATTGCGATGGGCAAAGGGAATGCCATTCCCTTTTATCACGGAACGGAGGGAAAGTAACCTTCCCCTTTGCAAGTGATCACAAAATTCTTGTTCAATTTTTGAGAGGGAAAGTTATATTTTTTTCCCCAAATTGTCCTACCTATAGCCCGACCACCTTTTCTTATTCAACTTCTCAAAAATTGAACAAGAATTCTGTTGATCGCTTATCGTGATGAAACAGAGGGCAGACCCTGAAAAACCAAAATCATGGCCAAGATTTGTACTGAGGGTTGACCAACACGTGCGCAATTACTTAACTTCCGGGCAATCTTGAGCAGTTCCCTGAAAGTTTGGATTCTTCTGAAGGTAGCGAAAGGTTTCACCCGTGGAGCATTTGAGTTGAAACCATTTACAGACGGGACGGCAGACAAAAATCAGCATCAAGTTGCAATTTCAATGTTACCAACAGCAGAAGCTGGAACTAGCCTTTCTGGCAAGAAACTGACACTAATTCCTGTTAAAAGGGTTAAGGCTAATAGGAAATAAAAGAGAGATTTTGGTGTTCTATATGATGGGCTTCTTCCTCTGGGTATCAATTGTTGTCCAGGTCTGCCTTGTAGCTGTTATGTGAGTCAAGCCAGGACAGCTCTACTACATTCTTTTTCTTTTTGAGTTTAGTTCATGCATGTTGCCAGGCATCACAGCAATGTTCAATGGTATCAGTTTGAAAAGCTAGTTCACATTTTTTTAAAAAAAATGCATAATGCTTTTTTTTTAAAAAAAATGAATAATGCATTAATTGATAATATTTATTTATACAAAAATAATTTTGTAAATTACTATTACATTCTCAGTAATGTATTTTCAAATCAATCATTATTTTTTTATGTGTATCAAACATGTAATATTATACTTTCAGTAATCACATTTTTTGTATTCATTTTATCAACTCATTCCCAATAAAGCGTCAAACGTTACTTATGAAGAAGGATTTTGCTAGGATGTATGTTAAGGATATTTCTAATACGTGTAGTGATTTTAACAATAACATTAATTAGTGTCCTTAAAACGCTTGTTTGCAAAACTCAATTCCTTTCTTTTCTGCCTGTTAGTTACAATTTTGAGAAGCTCGTAACGCGTTACCGTGTTAGAAATGTCAACCTTCTGGCGTTTACATTTAGTTTGACCGTAAGATGTTGGAAATTTCATGCCAGTGGCGACGCACTTGGTTGGTAACTCAAAGGTTTAAAAGTATTACAGAATCAAGGGTTTTGTTGTTGAAAGTAATCGAAAAGTAAATGGAAAGAAGAAGGATTTCCCTTTTTACTAGATGGAGTATAGGAAAATAAAAGGTTAATAAAACAAATGCCTTATTATTTGACTTTTCTGCCTCTTGAATGCAAAGATATAAATTTGTTTTTTTTTATAACAAAAACGAGAAAATTCCTTTTTGTAAATTTACAATATTTAAATCATCCAGTTTTCATGTAATCCAAACAAAAGAATTGCACATTTAATTTAATTTTCAGCTTACTTTTTTTAGAATATCAAGTGATTAATTTTTTTTTTTCAAATTCTATCACACTTGACACCAAAAAAACTGAATTACGAATTAAATAAAAAAAACATTGTATTGACTATTTTCGTTTTATTGGGATTTGAATTTTTTTATTAGATCTTCATAATCTTATTTAGTTGGATTTTTAATTATAATTGTTTGATTTTTTTTATTAAAAAATACAATATATATATATATATTCTTTTTGTTCGAAAACAAAGTACACCTATTGTTGATGATAACACTCAAAAGCAAAAGCAGTCAAAGCTCAGGCAAATTGTATCATAACGGAAGTCAAACAGAAAATAGTTGAAAACGCGGCTGTAACGTTCTTTACTTAATATCGAAGAAATATGACTATCAAAATTTAGTATAAGTTAGAGTATTACCAATAATATATATATATATATATATATATATATATATATATATACACTCATACACAATTTTGGGAACTTAGTAACGAGGTAGTAACGAGTTACATTCTTCCGTCTGGCAGCGTATGAAGTGAGCCCAAACTAATAATTCAACATATACATATATATATATATATTACTAATGTATACATCCGATGATTTTTCTTTTATACATATATATATATATAAATAAGGGAGTAAATAATCTTACTAATGGATTAATATAGACAAATATACACCAAGAACATTGTTAGACAACAACGATTTAAAATCATTTGATAGATGACAAAACACGTAAAAATTCAAAATAATTGCTTCACATAATTAATCATTTAATTCGCATAAAAATTAATTTTTTTTATAAACATGACAAACATACTCTTGGGTTTTTATTGACAAGATTTTTACGATAAATCATATAATTTTCAAAATATTAATAATAAATTATCCTTATCATACAACATATCTATATGCCATTACTTGCGGATGGTAATAATGAATATATATAATATAATAATAAAAATATATCTCAAAATTAAATTTGAAACTGTCTTTAATTTATATATATATATATATAGAAGAATTTTCATCTACTGGTATAAAAATAAAAAAACTTTTAGATTGGATAAACATTTTGAATTTAATTTGATATATGTTAAACCTAATCTCCATTTGTCAGCACCCAAAAAAAAAAAGTCAGTAATCATGAAAAACTTTAGAGCTTAAACTACATGTATAAAAACAATGCAGCTAATTATAACAGCGAATGTTAGGATTTATGGGATAAATTTACAAATTTAGCAATATTATTTTCTCATTAAATAGTAGTACTCACTAAAAAGAATAAATTGATAAATTATTGAAGTGACAAGATCACTAAAAAGAATTAAAAACTCAGTATTAATTAGTAATTAACTTAGACTACCATTCAAGAAAAAATTCTGTTGGCTTTGTGCTTGAACAAGTCTCCATTTTTATAATCGTTTCCCAAAAAATAAAATGGCAAGTTATCTAATTTAATGCATGGATACCCAAGTACCTAAATTGAAAAAGGATAAAACTAAAGTATAAGGTACATTTCATTCAATATTTATCATAAAAATAATTTAAAATTATTGATTTGATAAGGATTCCATATTAGCTTTTACTTTACATTTCAAGGAGAAAACAAAAATCCCAAGTTACAAATTAAATTGAGAGTATATTAAAAGCATGGAAATTAAACTAATTTAAAATTTAATCGTAATTAGTCTTGGAAGAAGTAGACGACTTCGTAGAAAAGAAGACAAAAGGGGAAGCAGGAGAAGAAAACAAAAAACTGGATGGCAATCGGTCAGCGATGGTAGTAGACCCACATGGTTCGAAGGGAGGGGGTGAGGGTGACAGACAGACAGACAGACAGACAGACAGAGACAGTTGTGCTTCTGCGTTGGTATAAGGTTTTAGCTTTTTGAGTTTTTGGCATATGGCCCGCAGCGTGCAAAGTTTCCACAAATTGCATGCAAAAAACCCTTTCAACCGTAGTCTTCATTTTGGCCATATCTCTGCAGTCTCACTCTCCATCTATGACTCTCATCTATGACTCTCTCTTCTGTCGAAAGTCCTTTCCATCTTTATTCTCCCCCAACACAAAATAAAAAGAAAAAAACACCAAAAATTGAAGTTTGTCCAATCAAATCACAAGATTTCTTTCACGTAACTTCTTCTTGAATTAAAATTTACCCGACTTTATCTCCGCATTTTTGTTATAAATACGTGCTTTTAAGACCAACCCCAAAACCCTCCAAAAACTCTCTTCTTTTTGCTCCTCTCTCTCTTTCTTTATCCCCCCTCTTAAGTTTTCTCTCTTTGTTTCTTGGTTTTGATGGAGCTAGTGCACGGTAGCCGTTCTTTTTCCTCTGAAACGCCGTTTTTGGCTCCGATTTCGCGGTCACCCGAAAGCTGTCTCCCTTTTCCTCATGGCATACAACCTATGCTTCCGGAAACTTCCGTGCAAAACAACGCTTCTGATCAAACCCTAGAATCAGCCTTTTCTCGTCTCAGTGTGTCAACCCAGGGGAATCAAGAGTTAGGCTATCCGGGTTTTCTTGGTGGTGAATATTTGGAGGGGTCTGGGAGTGGGATTGGTGGTGGGTTGGCAAGAACAGGACATGAGAGAAACAATGCCGTTGACGGTTTGAATGTGGGTTTTGGTGGAGGGATGATGGTGGGCCCAGATATTGACAGTTGGGATACTTTCATGTCTAGTTCATATCAACCCTCCAATTTAAATGGAAATGGGTATTTGCTTGATTCAAGAAGAAGTGAACTTTTCAATGAATTCTCAATATTACCCTCTTCCAGTCAAAATAGATTCTTGGCTGGTTCTGCTTCTGCTGGTGGTTGCACAAGGGCTTGTTGTTCAAAAAACAGGAATGTAATGAGATCTAGTTTGAATAATAACAATAACAATAATCTGAATAATAGTAATAGTTTCAGGAGGCCCCATTGGTTACAGGAGCCTTTGAATTGTTTGAGGCTAGGGGATTTGAGGGGTAGGATTGTGGCCTTAGCAAAAGATCAATATGGATGTAGGTTTTTGCAAAGGGCTGTTGACGAAGCTTCAAAGGAGGAAATTGATATGATTTTCATAGAGACTATTAACCATGTGGGTGAGTTGATGTTGGACCCTTTTGCAAATTATGTTGTTCAAAAAGTTGTGGAATTGTGTAGTGATGAACAAAAGAATCAGATTCTTTCAATGGTTACTAAGGATGATTTTCGACTTGTTAACATTTGTCTCGATACTCATGGGTATGTTTGGTTTGGTTTATTCTCGCTTCCCTTTTTTTTTCCTTAAGAAAAAGTTTGTTTCCAATAACTTTTTCTTTTTGGTGGTAGGTCTCGTGCTGTACAGAAATTGTTGGAGAAACTTACTACTCATCACCAAATCTCATTAGCTATGTCAGCTCTAAGCGCTGGTGCAGTTGCATTGACCAAGGACATGAATGGTCATCGTGTGATCCAATGTTGCTTGATAAATTTCTCCGACGAAGATAATAAGGTAACACCTAAGTGTTAGAGTAGTTGGATCGGCTACGATTTGAATTAAGCTTCATTTTGCTTTTTTCATCTTGTTTCAATTAGCTTTATTTTACTGTGCTTTTGTTCTTCTTGGTTCCTACATAGATATGGTCATTTGAATGAAATTGCAGAGGTTACTATGATCCTTCGTTTCTAAAAGTTATGACTATGAAATAGATGCATTTACTGCTGCTTTCTGTCTTCTTCTATCAATGTTGAAACTGGACCAAGATCTGTTTTATACATTTGTGAATGTAGTTTTGTCCATGTTTCTGGTTTCTGACTGGTCTTTACTGCAAGGATGTAAAGTCTATACTTTTGTGGGCTCATAGTTTTAATTGCGAAATGTCTTGCTCTACCATGTTATGTTCTTTAGATATGTGTCGTTTAAATACCTGACTTCACTTTTTTGTAAGTTCTGTTTCATGTCTTCATATTTATTTTTGGTATTTTCTACCCTTCAGCTTGTATCTTTGGCCTCAGTACATCTAAAATGTTGGTTGTACCACACAATTTGTTTCTGTTTCCCCACAAAGTTGATCCATACATTCTTTTGGTTGATGGGAAGTGCTCAATTTACTGGCAACATTGTTGGGGGAATAAGCACTTGGGTACAGTTTTCCAGAGAAGATTGCTCATTCATGTATGCTGTGCAATTTTTCTAATTGATCTTGCAGTTTTACCGGTCTGTTAGTTTTTCTTTAACCAATAAGGATTAACCAATTGATTTTCTACAGCGGAGGTTTGCAAATCATGAGGTTTTAATATCAACCATAAAGAATTTGCTTTTATGCAGTAAACCAGGGAATCATTACCACTTTGTATTTAGAAATCTAAAAAATCTAATCTAACACATTTTCTGACTCTGAATTTTCATTGGCAGTATCTTCTGAATGAGGTGGCGTATAACTGTTATCAAATTGCAACAGATAAAAGTGGGTGTTGTGCTCTGCAACAATGTGTTGACCACTCCAAGGGAGAGGTAAGAGCACATCTGGTTCGCGAGATAATAGCAAATGCTCTACACCTAGCAGAAGATCAATATGGGTATGTTTCTTGGAAACCTAATGTGCCGGAGAGTTAATGAACTTAAGTTGATGAGTGTGTATGTATAAAAGGTCTTCCATGGATTTTTCACTGCCTTGCTTTGTTGTGGAATTATGTTGTGTTTTTGAAATTAGTAAGCAATATAGTGCACAATTTATTTGAGCATGATAGACTCCTTTTCTTCTTTTTTTTTTCATTTTTTCTAGCAACTATGTGGTGCAACATATACTGGGATTGAAAGAACCACAAATCACGGAAAGTCTTCTGAGGCAGCTTGAAGGGAATTATGCATCTCTTTCCTGCAATAGATATGGAAGCAATGTTGTGGAGAAGTGCTTGATTGAATCGGGAGAACAGCAGTGTACAAGAATTATAATGGAGTTGCTTAGAAGTCCCACTGCATCAAGGCTTCTTGTCGACCCTTTTGGAAACTATGTTATCCAGTCTGCTTTATCAGTTTCTAAGGTTAGATATTTCTCACATCCTGCTGCTTCCATCTTCATGGTCATTTGGTGCACTTGCAAAGGTGTCTGTGTGTCGCATAAATATGTGCCTTAAGCTTCTTCATTAATCTGTTGCACCTGGATAGGCTTGGGGTAGGCACTCAGACAAGTTTGACCAGTGTGATTATCAGAGTAAATTCTTCGATTTAACTTCTATATAATTTGGCTTTTATTAAAAAGACCTTGGTTTTGTAGAATTCATACTTTGTTGACATGCAAATTGCTGGAACTCATATAGCTAACTCTTTCCTTGAGTCAGCTATTCAAAACAACTTTGGCCTGATCCTCTAGTGGGCCATATCACTCTTACCACAACATGGAATGTTTTCCACATGCTTTACTTTATATATTAAGAGCAACTTATACAAATTCCAAAAAAAAAAAAAAGGGGCAACTTATACCGGAGATTGTTATTAGGCTCCCGCTTATTTTTTTGTTGTGATGTTTCTTTATTATTGCATGAGCAGGGCTTTGTCTACAATGCTTTGCTGAATCTGGTGCGGGTTAACTATCCAATGATGCGCAGCCATGTTTATGGAAAATGGGTGCTTAGAAAATTACACATGTACTCTTAGAAACTTACAAAAGTATAACATGGGGAGATATCCTAATAAGATATTTTCACTACAATCGGTCTTAGGCATTTCCTTTTCCCCTCAAAATCTTCTATCACATTAGGATTATTGTGGACTTACTGAGTTTATATTTGATCTGATGCCTCATAGTGTAGGATTATTGTTGCTGTTGTAGTTTGTAGTCTTTGTTGGCCGTCACATGAATCCCTGAGGTATGCTACACTCCATGTTTGGATCGTGAAAGCAGCAGATACTCTGCTGTTGGATACAGAAATCATGAAACTTGATGTATGATTGTTCTTTTGGGGATTTGAAAGGGGATAAACCATATTTTGAGGTTTTCCCACTTTTGTTTGTCCTACACTGTATATCTAGCATTTTTTTTCTTTAAGGGCATTGAGTTATTCCGACTCCTTTTTCATGTAAAAATTGAGTTACCGTTTTGCTTCTGGGTTTGAGTGTCATTCTTGCAGACTTCTAATGAATGCTGCTGCAATCCTGTTGTTACACCAAATGAACTTATATAATGTTTCGCAGCTTAATACTTGTATCTTTTTTGGCCAACGGTTTGAAACTTAATTGAAAGTACTCTTACCTTGCACGAAAATTTTCACATTTGAAAAACATGTTATGTTCCTGGCTTTGCTGTCCCTGAAAGCCATGAGTATCCTCCTTTTTAGCTACGCCAAGGCGAATGAAAATGGTGCGAGGAAGACAGGCACTGGTTTAGCTTCCATGGAGGGTTTCTTTGGGATAGTGATGGTGCTTGCATTAAGGGTTTCTCTTCTTTTGTTAAATATTGGTACTACTACTAGTCTTATTGCTAGAGCAGAACCTTGGGGTATTACAGGAGGGTTTCACTTATATTCTGTCTTGGTTCGTGACTGTATCGATCCAATTCCAAGTTGATGGATTGAGGAAATGCAACATATTCAACGACAAGGTAACAAATTTTTATCTTAAAAGACGATTAAGTGAAAAACTGCATCATAACATGTAAGTAACCGTACTTATTTATGGTAGAAGAAGAAGAAGAAGAAGGGCAACGTCATTTTCCCGTGAATCTTTCACATTATATTTCTCATGTTTGATTAATACTCTTGTGAAAAGAATATTGATAAAACCGGTCCACCTTGGAAAATGGCAACCAAGACAAGTTAAGCTTTCATTCCTAAAACGAGGCCATCTCCGTTGGCAAATGATTGGGCACGTTTCTTTGCAGGATCGTGATACAATACCCTCTTTTTTCTTTGTCACTACCCAAACCTTTTTGCTTTGTTTTGTATTATCGCAAGGATTATTAATTATCTCCACTAAACCAACCACTTTAATCAAACAGGATATTAACGGCCGTCCGTTTGATTCACCGTTTACTTTGACAAAAACTCATTGTAACCCATGACGTGTCTCCCCCTCATTGGCTCCCCACCCGGTTTATTAAAAAAAAACAGAATCGCTTTCTATTAGTATCCTTTTTAAAGGAAGAGTGCGCTCTCTTTGGTCCTCTCTGTGCAATGGTCTGTCGTCGTTGACCACAACCTGGGGCCAAAGCGACGCGCCATGGCTCGAACCTGGTTTCACCTAACCTCTTCCGTTCTAATCGTCTGTTCCGTACTCTGGTTCCATCTATCCACCGTCAATGCAAAACATCATCACCGACGGCCGATGGTCCTCCCTCTACATCTATCATCACGCAATCATTCCCTGCACCGACACGTGGACAATCTCCGCCGTCATCTCCAGCAATCGGAGTTCTCTCGTTCCACTCCAAACGCTCGGATGAGACTCTATGATGATCTCCTTTCCAACGGGTATCTATCCTGTAAAAAAGGTTCCAATATTTTTTCTTTTGAATTTTCGAAATATTGAGGATTTTCTTTTTGGTAATTTGCAGTTACTATACGACTCGGCTATGGATAGGGACGCCGCCTCAGGAATTCGCGCTCATCGTCGATACCGGAAGTACTGTAACGTATGTTCCTTGCTCCAGTTGTGCACAGTGCGGCAAGCATCAGGTTCGGTCCCTTCTTATCAAGTTCGTACATTTCAGCGTTTCCGTTTATAATTGTTATTAATGAATTTGAAATTGACGCCTTTATTTAAGTGAGATTGCGGTTTTTAACTTTATCAAATTTGAATTAGTGAGTAATTAGCTTAGTAGAATTTTTAAGTAAACAGAGGAGTTAAATCGCGATTTAGATTCTTAGCTTTTACCATTACGAGAAAGTGAGCTATGCTTAGCTACTAGATTTAAGTTTTGTCCTAATTTCTTGATTTCTTAAATCTGTGACTGTTAGAATATAGAAATTTATCAGGGGAAATTGGTGAGTTTCTGGCAATATTAATCTCCTATTGGAATCCAGGATCCGAGGTTCCAACCGGATTTGTCTAGCACTTATCAACCTGTAAAATGCAATCCGAGTTGTAATTGTGATGATGAGCAAAAGCAATGCACATATGATAGACGATATGCTGAGATGAGTTCCAGCAGTGGGGTGCTTGGAGAGGATGTTGTTTCTTTTGGGAATGAAAGTGAACTTGTGCCTCAGCGTGCTGTTTTTGGTTGTGAAAATATGGAAACGGGTGATCTTTACAGCCAACGAGCTGATGGTATAATAGGTTTGGGTCGTGGCCGGCTCAGTATTGTGGATCAACTTGTTGATAAGAGTGTTATTGGTGATTCATTTTCTTTGTGTTATGGTGGGATGGATGTTGGTGGGGGTGCAATGGTTCTCGGAAATATCACTCCTCCCCCTGATATGGTCTTCTCCCATTCTGACCCTTTCCGTAGGTATACTTCTTTCAAAGGATCATATTTGTGGATGCATTTTTCTTAAGAATGCATCTGGTTCTTCTTACACATTCACTGTAGCTTTTGAATGTCAACAGCCCTTACTACAACATTGAGCTTAAGGCAATGCATGTTGCTGGAAAGCCATTGAAGTTACACCCTGGGATCTTTGATGGAAGGCATGGAACAGTACTGGACAGTGGAACAACATATGCTTACCTTCCAAAAGCTGCATTTGTTGCATTTAGGGATGCTGTAAGATCTAATAGCTTTGAGTTTCATGCTAATTTTAGTTTTTTGGTAGCCAGGTTCTCATGTTCTTTTCTACGATTGTTATGCTGTTCTTTCTCCTATGATACTTTACTATTTACTTTTCAGAAGCCAGAATTATTAATTGAGGCATAGAAAAAGTTTTTGATTTTGCATATGACGATTAAAGGATGTGCTCTTGTTGCATTTAATGCGCCCTAATGGATGAATGACTACTCATGTTGTCATTTATTGTAACATATATTACTTTGAGAGAATGAGTTAGAAATTTATGCAGTTAGGTATTATATAACAAGGCAACTGTGAAGGAAACTCAGTATTGATACATCTTTTACATATCTGGGTAACAATGTTATTTAAACTAGTTGTTCTTTATGAAAACTGCTTTATTACTTTCCAAGCACTTGGAGGTGCTGCTTCTTAAATATTGGTACTATGCTTTAGTTATCCAATTTCTGGAACTTGTCGTTTTATAAAACGTGTTCCCTTTGGAAGTGTGAAGCATGTCCATTCTGCATGGCTCTTATCCTTCAACAGATATGGAGTCCATTTCCATCATTATTATTGGGACAACAGTAATGGCACTTTGACAGGAACTAAATTACTAGCAAAATATTAACTACTATCCAGTACAATATTATAATTGATTTATAGCAATTTGCATTTGGTAAGTTATTGTGAAAGCCTTTGAATGAAATTAACATGTTTATGACAACTATGATTTTTGGGATTGATTTCTGTGGTTTAGCCATTTAGGATTTAGTATTCTGAACTGTTGCTTGGTTTGTGGCCCCATTTTTGAAAATTATGGCTGCAACCACAGCATCAAGTGTTCATTATGGCTGCAACCATGATTGATATCTTTCATCAGAAAATACTTAATGGTGGTGTTTGTTCTTTACTTGCTGCAACTCAAACTATTCTGGCAGTTTAATTTTAATTGTCTTTAAGTTTTATTTTTGTTTTAGTTTAAACTTTATTAACATAATATCAGCATCTATTTTCTTGCATGCTAATGTTTGGAACTGTTCTTCATGGTTATTTGTCTATTTCAATGCAGATCATAAGGGAAGTTCATTTTCTCAAAAGGGTCCATGGTCCTGATCCAAATTATGATGATATCTGTTTTTCCGGTGCTGGAAGGTGTTGCCAATACCTTTTTCATTTTATGTGAATGCTGATGCTTGTTGTCCTGAATCCATCTTTATGGTTTTCTTGAAATGTGATACAGGGATGTTTCCCAACTAGCAAAAATTTTCCCAGAGGTTGAGATGGTATTTAACAATGGAAAGAAGTTATTGCTGTCTCCAGAAAACTACTTGTTCCGGGTAATTAACCTTTTTTGAACTTTGCATTCTTGAAGAGCAAAATGGGTCCTTGGTTGGTGGCAAAGCTATTATAAGTGGTTATAAAACATTTTTGCATCATCTATTTTCTGTGCTAGTTCTTCAAAGAACTTTCTGACACATATCTCCTCTGTCTCGTAATGGGATGCTTTGTAGCATACAAAAGTTAGTGGTGCGTATTGCTTGGGAATTTTCCAAAATGCAGAAGCGACTACTCTTTTAGGAGGTATGTTGCACCATTTGCTTAAAACAAAGCCCTCTCTCCCTCAATGTATGTGCATGAATGTGCAAGTGTAGCATATGCCTACCATATAGTTTTGAAAAATGTATGCCAAAAATCTAAAGTTCTTTCTGTATACTATGGTCCAGTCCAACTCAATAGATCATGTTTGTTTAGATGACTGCAGTAATAATCTCTTAACTTTTGTTTGTTTGAGGCAGGCATTGTCGTCCGTAACACCTTAGTCACTTATGATCGGGGTAATGACAGGATAGGCTTTTGGAAAACTAATTGTTCTGAACTATGGAGGAGAGTGCAGTTCTCTGGTGCGCCTGCACCAGCTCCTTTAGTCTCCCAAAGCAAGGATACAAACATGGAAATTCCTCCAGCACTAGCCCCAAGTGGGTTGCTGCCAAATGTTCTTCCAGGTGCATTGCTTATTACTGCTTACTCATAAAAATCTCCTGTAGATTTAAAAAGGAGGCTTATAATTCGTGATAAATAGCATACATGCAACCCCTGGTATGTGTACGTGTGTGTACATCTGGTTTTATATTCTAGTCAGATACAGCTTATGCATATAAAGCTTATTATTGTTAAGATGGCCTAATTTCATACCATATCCTTTTGGTATAATCTTTTGTATGCTGCAGTCATCATTTTCTGCTCACAAAATGGGCTTGCTGCTTGTTTTTGAGATTATCCGTGTTGAGATGCTGCCAAGTGCTCCTTGAGCAGCTGCTCCTTTTGTAATTGTTCAGAACAGGCTCTTCTCATGATAGCTTCCATGCCAACAG